CAAATTTTGGGATATATATTAATCTGAATATATATATATATATATATATATAATTTTTTTTTAGAATAGCTAGTTCATACAATATTTGGACTGATTCAACCACTGATTCTATGAAAGAGATATTTTAAAACGAGTTTAAATAGGATGTTTTGATAATAAATAAATAAATAAATATGTATATAGAGAGAGAGAATAGTTGTCATTCATAATTAGAGAGAGAAAATGATTGGATACCAATAAGATTCTCTCCTTGCTTCCTTCTCTTTATTATTATTATTATTATTATTATTATTATTATTATTATAAATTAATATTTATTATGTGTAATAAATATGTAATATTTACTAAAAATTTGATACTCCTTTTCCTACCAAAGACTTTATATATATGTGTGTGTGTGTGTGTTTGTGGGTGTGGGTGTGTTTGTGGTGTAAAGAGAGAGAGTAGTTGTCATTCATAATTAGAGAGAAAATGATTGGATCTCAATAAGATTCTGTCCTTACACAATTCTCTTTATTATTATTATAAATTGATATTTATTATGTGTAATAACTATGTAATATTTACTAGAAATTTGAAACTCATTTTCCCACACACACACACACACACGTACACACACACACACACACGTACATACATATTGATTCTACCAAGTCAATATGTATAAACTCTTTTTCCTACCAAGTCAATAAGAATCTCTCCTCACTCCCTTACCTTTATTACTATTATTATTATTATAAATTGATATTTACTAGAAATTTAAAAGTCCTTTTCCTACCAATGACTTGGAGCAAGAGTAGTATAGATATTAGTACCAACATTTTGAAAAAAACCTATTTTATTTTGAAACATGGCCTCCAATTAGTCCTTGAAAGCAGAGATATAATTGGCGGAAGCCATGCTATTATTGTTGTTTAGGAAGCGAGATATGGGGTTGGTAGGAGTCAAATCATCCTCACTAAGATGAATCAAAAAATTTAAATTCGAGGCAATTACATTCATACCATACAATTCTTATGAATTTTTATGTAACACTAAAATTTTATATTTAAATACATGATGATTAAATCCTTAAAAAATATAGTACCAATGCAAAAATTTAAGATGTTAAAAGTGTGGTAAATATAAATATGAAAGGGGCATTTACATATACACTGCCCAATTCTTATGTATTTATAAATGTAACACCTAAACTTTGCTTTCAATATTTATAGTGTTCGAATCTTTCATATCACATTAAATATACCACCATTTTAATATGCAGAAAGTAAAATACACCTTTCAAGCTTAGATAAGGTGGTATGTAAAATATTTTGGTGTAAGATATGTAAATACAAAGAAATGGAGTGTTATGCATGCAAATCAACCTTAGTAGAATAAATCAGGGGCTGCATAGTTTGAGATCTTATTCATGATAAAGTTGATAATAATAAGAGAGAGAGAGAGAGAGAGTGCGTGTAAAGCATCATCAAGAATTTTTTACAATCGGGCAAGAATTTTTATGCATTTTGAGCAAAAATCATTCAAATTCAAATTTAAGATCATTCAGTGCTCGATTTCAATAAGTTTATAGCCAAATTGAGGGTTTCGACAAAACAAACCAAATAACGCTGAAAGTGATCCAATCTGAGTTCGAATAAGCCCAGTAAAACACTTGGAATACTATCAAATATTTTAGGGCATCAATTTGAAGGCTAAATAATATCAAAATTTGGTCTACTTATAATCAAATCGAGAGTCCAGATGGGAGTAATCCAGCGATCTCAAGAATTACAAGACAAAACAAACCAAATAACGCTTTCCCTATTTTCTTGGAACCGCAGAATTACAAAACGTTAAAGAGGCCCAAAATTATTGCTGGTTGCTACACTAATTATAAATTTATAACCCTAATAAAATTAATTAATAGGATTTAAAGAGTGTGGGGCATTCAAACGAAAGATTCTAAAAGTGACCGCATATCATTATTATAATAACACTAATATAATAAGGCTAAAAAGGCAGACACCTACATTATTTCTAAGCTAATGATGATATTGGTGATAATTCATAATCAGAGCCTCAAATGTTTTTTATATGTTAATCTTCGCACGCCCTAAGTATACGCACTAACTTCATTTAGAGGTGTAACTAAGCAAAGCCGACTCGTAAGTTAGTCCAGACACGACTTGATAAGTGATTTTTGAGTTGAGCACGATGAGTTAGCAACACAAGCTCAAATCTGTCTCGACTAAACTCAATAACTCGTGTCGGCTCATTTAAAAAATATATATTTATATTAAAAGAATACTTAAATATATTAAATTTTAAAATTTTATCTCTAAATTATTAAAAAATATTTAAAAATAATATTTTATACTGTATATTCATTTTTTTTATTATTTATCATTATAGGTATTCATCTTAACTGTCATTTTATTATAATACTAATTAAAATTAAACTCATAAATTTAAGGTTGAATTTGAGCTTGCCATCAAACTCGGTTGATAAATAACATTTTAACAGCCACTAACTTCATTGAATTTGAGCTTGTCATCTTGTATTTATATCTGTGGGATAAATAGTTTTTACTCTTCCTAAAATTTTTCTGTGTAACATTTATTTGTCTCTTACATTTTTGTTTGTCTTAGAAAATTATTTTACGCTAAATTTTAATATTTATTTATTATTGAGAATTTTCCAGTATGATACGATATATATATCATATTGATGCGTGCTAGAAAATTCGCGGCGGTAGAGTAACGGATTATCGTCTTAGCGTTGTACGAGAACTCAACACATACACAGATGAAAGAGAAACAACAGTGACGATTCCAAAAGTTTTTACGTGGAAAACCCGTAAAGGGAAAAACCACGGGGTCTGGCCCAGTTGTGAAAATTTTTTATTAATTGATGATTACAGAAATCTCTTGTCTCACAGACAAGAAAGGGTAGCTATATTTTTCAAGTTATAACGCCGACTAACAGCATATGGTTGGTGGTGATCGATGGTGGTTAGCGAGAGTCATTGACGGTCGGTGGTGGTTGATGACGGTAGGCGGTGGTCGACAACTGTTGACGATAGTCGACGGTGGTTGGAGATGGTTGATCGCTTTCGGCAGATGTTGACGACACAACGGTTGTCGATAGCGGTTGACAACGATCGGCGGTGGTCGACGATGGTTAGCGATGATGCTGAGCTGCAGCTCCTCCTCAAGATCTAAGACTCTCTCTATGCTTAAGATCCCCATCATGAGAGGAGCAGGGCTCTATTTATAGAGTTTTGGGTGCAATTAATGCAAGAATATGAATCATTTTCATCGAACGGTCTGAATAGCTTCCCTCAGTAAGATGTTGTTTAATAGACATTTGGATGTCTTAATGATGTTAGAATTGAGTACTATTGGACTCATTAGATTCATCTCATCAAGACGCTCGACTTGACTATAAACTTGTCAAATTTAGCATCCGTTTGACATTCCAAATGTGTCTATAATTCTTCGAAGAGTGGTTTAATGACTTGATTTGGGTTTGATCTGACTCGAATTGGGCTAACTTTGATATTATTAGATGTCATCGAGCCGGACAGTTTGACTATAAGTTTGCTGAAATCGGTGCTATGGATGGCTATTAATTCAAGTTTGAATGTTTTTAATCAAAATATTATCTTGAGATCTGTGTCATGCCTAGAGATTCATGTCGGATGATAAAAATTTTGTTGGTGACGTATTATATTTATATATATATATATATATATATATATATAGCTTTCCCAATTGTCTTGGAACCGCAGAATTACAGAACTTTTAATAGGCCCACAATTATTGCTGGTTGCTACACTAATTATAATTTTAAAACTCTAATAAAATGAATAGGATTCATGGAATGTCAAACATTCAAACGAAAGATTCCTAAAACTGACCGCACATCATTATTATAATAACACTAATATAATAAGGCTAAAAAGGCAAACACCTACATTATTTCCATGCTAATGATGTTATTGGTGATAATTCAAAATCACCATCTCAAATGTCTTTTTATATGTTAATCTTTACACGCCCTAAATATAATCTCTAAGCAAGATAGCAACACAACCTCAAATCAGTCTCGACTAAACTCATTAACTCGTGTCGGCTCATTTTTTTTTAAAAAATACTTTTAATATATTAAAATTTAAAATTTTATCTTTAAATTATTAAAAAAATTTACGATAATATTTTATTTTGTATATTAAATAGTTTTTTTAGCATTTGTCATTATAATTATTCATCTTAATTATCATTTTATTATAATATTAATTTAAATTAAACTCAAATTTAAGCTTGAGATCAAACTTAACACCCCCTAACTTCATTGCATTAACATTGAGAGAGTAATGAACAATAAATGGCGATGCTTAGAATTCTGTAACAAACCATCAACATCGCTTGATTTTGTTGGGGCCAGCATTTAATCTCCCCTGCACAAGTATAGAAATAATACTCTGAGACCTGACTGCTTAAACCCTGCTACCCTTGAAGCATTTGCTACATTTCTCTAATGATCACATTATATATTCTTGCTTGTGGCTACAATATTATACAAATAAATATATTCTTTCACAATTAAATAACATAAATAAATACTAACAATTTAATTCACTGAAATAAAAAATTAAAAAAAAAATGCATTAAATTTAGATACATGTTACTATTAAATTACAATTTTATTAATATTAAATATACAATTAAATAAATTTTAATTAAACCTATTTTATTAAAATAATATATTATATATGCATAGACAATTTAACAAATTACTTATTAAATGACAACCACAAACTACTGTCTTCATAAACATTAATAAACGAGTTTAAGAAAAATGTTCAAATTTATTTATTTACTAATTTGAACAAACAAGAACAAATATAACCGAGCAAAGTTCAAATTATTCATCAAATGCATCGCATAACAACACATTCAAATTATTCAGAACTAAAATGTAAGACTTTGGTAAAATAACAACCCATTCAGATCATTTAGCAAATATAAAAAGTCACTTGGTCTTCCATTGAATAGATAAATCAGAATACACTATCAAATACATGATATCAATTGGCTAAAAATTATTTTCGGATGATTTTAACAACACTTTATCATAGCTAATCCTAAAATACATTGGAACGGAGTTTATTTTTGTTAAGGTTCCATTGCTGCTTATCTGATTGACTGAACAGACTCTCTGAGTCATCTGCGGTGACAACCGCCACATGCAAATATGATACCTATCCATCAGCCTTTCCCTCTTGTGCGCCAACCTCCTGCAGGTAATGTTCAGCATCCAAAGCAGCCATACAGCCTGCAATATTTTTCATGGTATAATGTACAAATTTTTTTAAAAAAAAAATTTTAGGCCATAATAAACATGTTAATTAAGATGAAGAAAATATTATATGAGATGGGCATAAATATTGTAGTGTGCTTATGAAAGGAAGCTCATCAGATAGCAGCAACAACAGCAAGTCTTTATCCCACTAAGTGGGGTCGGCTATATGAATCCTTTTTTGGCCCATTGTGTCCTATTGAGGGTCATATTTTCATTTAATTCTAACATATTAAGAACATTTTTTATATAATATGCCCGAGTCTTTAAGGTCTACCTCTATCTTTCTTAACATAAGTGAAATCTAAAATATTTATTCTCCTAACAGGATCATCAGATGGTCGGCGTTTATTATGACCAAATCATCTAAAGACGACTCTCTCTAATCTTGTCCACCACTAGAGCTACACCAACCCTATCATGGATATATTCATTTCGCATTTTCTCTCTAAGTGTCAAGCCACTCATCCACCTAAGCATGCTCATCTCAACAACATTCAACTTTGTTTCATGCTTCTCTTTTAAAGGACAATATTCTGTGGCATAGAGCATTGCAGGTCTCAATACCATCTTATAAAATTTTCCTTTCAATCTAAGCGGTACTTTTCTATCACAAAATAGGCCAGATGCATTCCTCCACTTCAACCAACCAACTTGAATTTTACTAATAACATCTCCATCTATATCACTGTCACTTTGAACAATAGATCTGAGATACCTAAAACAATCAAATCTTCTAATGATTTGATCACCCATAGTTACAACTCTGCCACTAGAGCTGCTACTAAAAAAATAACATTCCATGTATTCAGTTTTAGATCAACTCACACAAAGGCCTTAACACTCCAATGTAGACCTCCATAATTCAAGTTTTTCCTGAACTTTTTCTCTAGACTTATCCTCAAGAAGGATATCATCAGTGAAAAACATACACTAAGGTACACCCTTCTTTAAATGTTTCTGTAAATGTCCAGTAAGACCAACCATAACTAAAGCAAAGAGATTTGGGCTTAGTATATTATAAAGATCACTAAAAATTAAATTTTTAATGTCACAAATTATTTTCTTAGACTTCTTACAAACCACCTTATATTTTTTCCAGTTCTCTAAGCTTTTACGTTCAAACTATTTTTTATAACATAATTTCTTATATTCTATCTTCTCCAATTACATTTTTTATAACTCGTTTAATAGTATTTGTTCATTTATCCCACATAAAATTTGCTTCTTCATGAAAATCTCAAATATTTAAATCTTGAAATTTACTCATAAAATAATTTTATTTGTCTTTTAAGTGCCCTCATCTAATTTTATGATAATATTTTCTTATATTTATTATCTTACAACTCTTCATCTTAAAATCTAGAACTAATAATCGGTGTTGAGTGTTTAAACTTTCACTTAGAATTACCTTACAATATTTACACTCTAGAGGATCTCTTTTCTCACGAGAAAATAATAAATTTGTGTTTTATTAAATCCATTCTTATAAGAAATAATATGTTTATCATTTTTCTTAAATAAAGTATTAATAATAACAAAATCATAAGCTAAAATAAAATTTAATATAGTACCACTTTCTTTATTAATCACTTCAAAATCATAACCACCATGAATATTTTTAAAATCTTCTGTCACTCTACCAACATGCTCATTTAAATCTCCTCCGATAAAAATTCTATCTTCAAGATGTATAATTTATATTAAATCTTCTATGTAATTCCAAAGTTTTTCTTTTAAACATATATGTAAACCTACTTAAGAAACATAAGCAATTATAACATTAAAATTTTAATATCAATAATAATCATTATGACTATAATTTTATCTCCAATTCTATTAATTTTGTCAACATTATCTTTCAAACTCTTATCTATAATTATACCTATAACATTTCTAGTGACTCCTACCAAAATACGAAAGTTTAAAACCTAAGCAATCAATCTCCTTGGCCTTTTCTCCAACTCAATTAGTTTCTTGAACACATAGGATGTTTATCTTCCTATGAACCATAATATCAACAAATTTCATTAATTTACCTGTGAGAGTACCTATATTCATAAATATTATCCTAATATTAGTTTCATGGAGTAACTTCTTTACTCGCATCCATTTATAATGTGGGAACTCTTACTTATTTGGCTCTACAGCCGGGCGTCGGTGTAACGGCCCTTGCACACTTCACATTTCAGGACATATAATGCGTCGCTTCCAGGAGATGCCCTAACATTTACACAAAGATTTAAATGATTCATGTCATGATTTTTCGACAAATTTTACGCTGGTTGTCGACTACCTAACGCAATTTCCCATCTGAGGATCAAGACCCGACAATGACAGTGTTGAACCTCATCAGACATCAAACATCTAATCCAAAATAATTCAAAAAGAATAATTGGAAAGATTCAAAACATTATCATAAATCAGTGTCAAAATTAAGGCTTAGCTAATCTTTCTAAACTGCATGGGGACAGGTTTAGGTCGACCGACAGCGGGTTTAGAATTTTGGTATTAGAGAAAAAAAAATATCTGGGGAATACTTAGTAATATAAACATAACATAACTATTATGAAATTTTATTTTATCCTAAAATCCCCCCCAAAAAAAAAAGTCAAATAGACTAAAAATCTAAAAACTTTAAATTAAACAAAATTAAATCACTTCATTCAACATTCAAAAAGTTAATCACAATTTCACAAAACTTTAACCAAGAATCTATCAAATTAAGAATTATAAATTGTAGCTTGTAAGTTTTTGACACATCAAATGCTTTCTAATAACAGAATCCAAATCAACAATTTGGCGTATAAATATCAGTAGAATTGCACAAAAACTCATCCTCCCTTTGTAACACAACTTATTTATGATAATTCTCATAGCCATTACAATAATACTTAATTAGAAAGCCCACAATACTTTTCAACATTGAATTGTTTTTTTGCAAAACATGGATAATTCTTCCATATACTCCTTAATTCGATTATTCATAACTTGCAACCACGAATCAATTAAAGCTATAAAGGCCTCCACATAAACACAGTGATATGATATCTTGGTGTGAGACAAAGCTCTACCTCCAATATAATGAGCACTCGTATAAGAAATATCTATCTCATATTTTCTCTTTTTGATAATTAAAAAAAAATCCATCTTTCCTTAAGTACTAAAGAATTGACTTTGTCAGTCCATACAAGACGTTGCAATAGAAATATTATTAACAAAGCAACAGGTCATCAGTTATGTCTATAATTTCCTTTATAAGATAGAAGATCAAAATGAACTCAAATTGCATGAGCACATCATATGCTCCATCAAGTTTACCATGTTGAGCAAAAGAATTTTCATCAATAATGATATTATATAGAACTGAAAAAGAAAAAAGGAATCAAACTCAGAATAAATTTAGAGTGAACTCCATGAAATGTCCCTAGCAATTTAAAGTGAACAAATTTGACTTTTTCTCTCATCAAGACGTTGAGACAGTTAAGCTAGGCATGATAAAATGGGGCATTTACTTACCATCAAATTCCTATGTATTTACATATCTAACAGGTAAACATTAATTTTTACATTTATACCACATTAAAAATTACAACTATTTTAACTTTTAAAAAGTGAAATACACCTTTTCAATCAAAGAAAATGCGGCATGCATGTAAAAATTGACGTTTGGGTCTTAGATACGTAAATACAAAAGAATTAAGTGGTAAGTAGTAAATATTTAATAACTTCCTTGTGCATGGTTTTCTTTCATAACTTTCTTTCATGACCTAAATCATTAAACAATGAACACATTTTAACCTTTGCAATCCTAAAAATGTAATATGAAAGATAATAAACCCCTTTAGACTTGGAAAATACTCTTGGATTTGTACCAAAAAGAAAGAAATTAACAACAATTTGTATCAACAATATTTGCCCAATATGGAGGAATAAGTTGGTACAACCCTTTCTTGTTATAAGCAAACTTCATCTTGTTAGTTCACTGAACATTTCCACATTGATTTCTAGCAAAGACTATATTTATCATAGTAGCTAATCGGTTTAACACATTTGATGATTAGTCAGATATATTGATTGAGACGGATATTTCTCAAATTATTTTCCAGTATCATGTTTGACATTATATAATCATGTGGTCAGATATATATGATCATGTGGTCACACTCTAACATGTATTAAATCCTTCATATGCGATACTAGGAAAGTACCCTTGAAATATGCAAGGGGCTAACGTGAAAGATAAGTTTTTAGGGTAATTGAAGACTCATTTCTTTCTTGTAGACAAATATGAAAGTTTGCCTATGAGAGCTTATTGGCTTGTCTTGAGAACTTTTTTTATGCCACGCCCCCTTTTTAAACTTTTAGGATTTCTTTATATATCATGTATTTGTTTTTTAAAATATATTTTTCACTAAAAAAATATAACTTATGTCCCCTCCAAATTTAAATAGTTAATTTGTGTCCACGTTAAGAAAAATTTATGGCCCCGTCGCTAAATGAATCAACCTATTTTATGGGGATTTTTTTTGTTTTATAAAATAAAATAAAATGATAAAAAAGATGTACTTGTTTACTTAACTTTTATTTTTTATAACTTTTAAAAATAAATTACTCAGTTAAAAAAATACTAAAATAATATCAAGTGTTCTTGATATTTTTAAAAGATAATTCGGCATTATCATGAACTTCACGGGTCTTACTTTAGAGCTTCTAGAGGGCTTCGATCGATTGAGATTTCTTCAAAGGATACGCCCTATGTTGATTCCCATAGTTCCTAGCCCCCCAAATCAAACAACCATTTTCCCAGTCATCATCACCTAAGGTGATAACAAAAAGTAGGGAGATAGTGTCAGTCATGACATGGCGTAAAGGAAAAGAGAATAACGGATGAATCATACTATGAAGAAGTTGGTCAAACTCATGGGGTTCGGGTTCTAGTAAATAGAAGCAATGATTTGGTATATAGACAAAGC